TGGACTTATCGGTAAAACGGCTGTGTTGAGCTCTCATCAGTTTAATATGACTTAATGGACCGAAACTTCTTATCTCGCTCTCACCATCTTCAATCAGCACTACTCTTTCTCCTACTCCTTCACAGGGTTAACCTGGAAGCTGCAATTTGCTTGCCGTTCGGGTTTCTTGCTATAATTCATTTCCCAAATTTTTGCAAGAAGATTGTGTATATTTCAACAACGAACGGATTCATTCATGATTGCTCAATTTTGTCAGTTGTGGTGCAGCACGATATGATTTTTTACAAGATATTAACTTATATGTTTCAGGAAAAGGAAAGTTTATGCCGGAAGATATCACAAAAGGCTTATGCACACATATTCTGTATGCTTTTGCCAAAATCGACAACGATGGCAATTCGGTGTACGTTTACTTCTTGCTCGTCGCGCACTGATTTGGCCAACGCAGTGAATTTTACGCGACATTAAGCTAGACCAATTTTCTAGGGGTTCTCAGATGTCATCGTCACGTTCTTAGCCAAGATTTAAATGCTTTAAGCAGCCTTCAGGACGCTTTTAATGCTTTAGGACGCTTGAAATAAGGAAAATCCTACCAGGTACTTGCAAACCGTGATTTCTTTGGTTCGTTGGGCAGTCACCAAAACTTGCAAATCACTCAAACCTTTTACATTTTCCTTCTATTGTTTACCTGAATACTGTCCTTAAGTATAGCTTCTATCTCAGTTCCTTAATCTGTTAACTTACTGTTCTCATTTTGTAAAGCTAAAGAAAAAAAAACCCCTCCCTATTCGCCAACTGATAGCATTGCACGTCAGCAAGTCTCAAATAATTGGGAAACTTTCTGGGAAATCTTCAGAAGTGCAGCTGCCGTCAAACTCCTAGCATTGTCAAAGCTCCAGTAGAAGTCAGAAAGCTGCAGTTCTTTTTAGCGCATTCGAGTGGAATGATGAAGACACCGAGTGGTCCGAAGGGATGTTTTCCAGGGTTATCAAGCACAAGCAGACCAATCCCGGTCTCAAGGTTCTTCTCTCGTACGGAGGATACAACTTTGGTTCAGAAATTTTCACTGTTCGTCTTTGTTTCTTCGTCTCATATGAATAACTTTTAGAAAGCAGTTCATCTAGAAATATGCCTTAACATTTTGATCGAAGCGACCGACTCATTGCGTACAGTTTCAACTATGCAATTGCTAGCATTTTCAAACTCATTGACCAATGCTGCATCAATTAGCGGTCAGACTGCTGGCGATCTTAGTGATCTTTCCCCTTTTGAAGGCGTTAATATTTCAAAAGCTTTCACGATAGAAACAATCTGACAAGGCTATGCCGGAAATTCAAAAGTATCAACTGAAAATTTCGAAAGCTAAAACCTAGTGGATAAGTCCAGAGGCCGGGCGCTCCCGGGAGATCCTACAATATGAGATTTCTAAATGAATTAATACCTCTGATCAGAGGGCCAGCAGGATTTGCATTATGTTGCTGCGGATATTAACTGTTGAACGTGCTGGTAAGCAAATATTTTTTTGTGACTGTTTAGGAAGGTAGTCTTCGTAAATTGGTTCAAAGTTTTTTTTTTTTTTTTTTTTTTGTTTTTACCGGGGAGCGGGGAAAAGGGAAATGGGGTCATATGGGATTTATATAATTCAATTTGTTAGCTTGCATCGTTGTGGACTTCAATTAGCATCTTTTTGGTTGTGAACTCGCTCTTCGTGGTGATGTTTTTTGTAATTTTAAGCTGTTTTTTTTGCATCGTTTGTAGAGCAAAAAATCTGAAAAATTTGAGTTTCTTGGCTAGAACTTTCCTAAATTACAGGATTTAAGTCCGTATCATCCGTAACTTAGAAGGTAGCAGTACACGAGGTTTATTTCAAAATTTTTTCTTACTCCTCAAAAACCAGCAGTCTACGCCAAATGGAATACAGATGATTATGTTTAAAGGCAGTGGCAAAGTCTGATACGAAGCGAAAGAACTTTATCGATTCGGCCATTGCATTCCTCCGCAAAAATAAATTCGATGGTTTCGACTTGGACTGGGAATATCCACTCGGTGTCGCCAAAGAACATGCCAACCTTGTCAAGGTTCTGAATAGATCACGTTTCTTATGGCCATATTAAATACAACCTCGATGCCAAAACCCCCCTTACGGCTCTCTAGGAGATGTAGATTCCAAAGGTGGCAAGTATCAACAGTAACTC